AAATCCAAACTCCTTGCATTGTTCACATGGACTCCACCCATGTCTCTGACTTCAGCTTGGATTAATCTGACTTTAGGCCTCTGTGTTCCACACTGCATTTTCACTTTTTCAAAATATTCAAAGTTTTTCATTTACTTTCGGGATAGGGCCTTCTTACCCTTTCACTAGGATGCTCTTCCTGCAGCCCTTGAAATCCAGCTCCATTTTATCAGCACACTCAGCTCAGCCCCCACCCAAGGGCCTCCCTGGCCACTAAGGCCAAAGCAGCTTCTCACTGTCAGTCAGGTGACTCTTTAGATTCTTTTCAAAGAACGTATCAAAATGATATTCTCTTCTTTAATTCACTGATGTCCATCAAGGTGTTTATCTTACTTTGAATGTAAGTATCTTGAGAGCAAGGACCTCTTCTTTGTACTGATCAGTATATCCACAATGCCTAGCTGAGTGTCTGACACCTATGAATGTTTTCTCAAAAATTGTAGCAAATGAATAAAGAATTGCTATGTGAGGATTTGGAAAAGCCAGAAGGCATGAAGAAGAGGGAGTGGGAACCACTTTCTGCAGACTGTGGGTGGGCTCAAAGGATCTTTTTGGACAGTGTGAATTCTGAGCTGGGAAGGACTGATACAGCAATGCTGCATGAACAAGTCTGGGCAAGTGTTGGGAAAGTCTGTCTTTGCAGGCCAGTCACTTGACATTTAGTTGTTGACAGGCTTCCTGGCTCACTAATTAGAACTGTAAAATTTCAGGTGAATGACAGTGGCTTAAACATTAATTCTGTTTTTTGCAGCTGCAATCACTGGGCAGCTAATGTTATAATTGATGGACGCTGCCAGTTGCTGAGATAGATGGAAATTAATACTTAAATTGCCATTGTTAGAGGTCATAATCACATTTTCAGTTGCATCCAAGAATGGTTTTTATATTGCCTCAATCAATAAAACTCTAATATAATTTTTGGGCACACAAACATACATTAATACTTTGGGGATGGAATGTTATAAATATATATGTGTGTGTATGTATGCATTAAATTTTAAATTTTAATCTATAAGTACAGTCAAGTTCTAATCATCCTCCAGCACATCGTCCTTTAGGTAAATCACAAGGAAAATAAAGCTGCTAAACAGATAAATCCTCAAAAATGATTGATTCAGTAAAGGATTTTGATTTTATCTTAGGATTCTTATAGTTATTGAATATATATATATGTAGTTATAAAAATACATGCTTCACCATATTGTAAAGGAAATTAAACTTTTGGAACCCATTTATAATGAAGCATAACTAACTAATTGATCCTGTATTGGCAAAACCGAAGCTAGTCTCTTGCGGTGCTATGCTGTTGTGGTGGTCAGGGATTTCTGAAATGAAATGTAACGCCACATCGCAGCTTTACTTTAAAACAATGATTATTCTAGTGAATAAAAATATGAGTTGGGAAGAAGTCATGTATTTTCTCTTTTTAGTTCTCTTCATACAATTGTGCCTATTTTTTCTTTGTTTTTTTTTATAGGCTTGTTATCTTGGGCCTTTATTCTTACTTAACACCATAACTCTAGATTCTGTGTCCCAGAAATTCCATCTTCAGTGCTCTGTGCAATGCTTGAGGATAAGTGTCTTTTCATATTGACTGTAATGCATAGTCAAAGTTGAAACCGTATTTTACACCAGCTCCTTGGGTTCATTCGCTCTCATAATTTGAATAACCATGGTATATCTCTGGAATAGGGATTATCCTCTATGATTTTACTTGAGCTTCACATCTAAACATGTAAATACCTGCTTTTCCTTCCTTCTTGGATGCCTCCGCGTGCCAGTGCAGAGCTCCTCAACCACCAAGCCGCCTCACCCTTTCTGTATTTTCTGTCTGGCGTCTCTCCTTTGCTTTCCCTCTCCTACTGTATTCAATTATTTAACAGTCTGACAATTCACCCCCTAAATGTGTCAAAATCTTTTCTTTTATTCTCACCTGCATTAATCTTTTTTTTAGCTAAAGTGTTCCTGTTTTAGCTTGCTTTAGATATCAATGATTTTTCTTGTTCATATCCTCTTTTTTATGAATCAGACCTACCCACATTGTCTCTGTGGGTGATCAATTTAAAATGCTAATTTAACCACACCATTCACAGTCAAAATTCTTCAATAGCACTTCATCTTTACTGGATCAAGCCCAAATGTTTTAGCAAGGGTTACTAAAGTAATTCCATGAGTCTTTTATGTCTCTCTTTCTTTTTTTTTTTTTAATATTTTAAAGAGAAAAAGATGGAAAAAGAAGTAAAAATGATACAGAGTTTCAAAACAGGACAATAAAAACTTAACAATGGTTAATGTATTGCATATTGTTGTCTTCAAAGTATTTGCTCAGATTAAAAAATGTAGGCATGAAAAATTAATCAACCAATGTAAGCACAAACCAATCTTTGCAATGGACTACAAGAAATTAGTAGTATAATTATGTTAGCTGTCTTGTATTTTATATATATATATATATATTATTTTATTTTCCCTTTCTTGTTTTCTCATCTCCCCCATCCCAGTTGTTCTTCCCTTTTAAGCAGTTTCTTTCCCTTTCTCAATATCCATTGCAGATTTTGTATCTTATTTACTCTTTTAGTTTCTTACACTAAGGAGACAAGATTATGTTTATACATGTGAGTGTGATTTATTTCACTTATGAATATAATCTCTAGTTGCATCTATTTACCCATAAAAGCCTTAAGTTGATCCTTCTTTATAGCTCAGCAGTACTTTGTTATAGAAAAATACCACATCTTTTCTATACATTCCTCGGTTGATGGGCGTTTGGGTTGTTTCCAAGATTTAGCTATGACAAATTGTGCTGCTATAAACATGGGTGCACATGTATCACTGTGGTATGATGTTTTTAATTCTTCTGGGAAGATACCCAGAAAAAGAATAGCTGGGTTAAATGGGACTTCCAATCCTAGTTTTATGAGGAATCTCCACACTGACTTCCACAATGGTTTTACCATCTATACTCCTACCAAGGGTGAAGTGTTCCTTCAACAGCCCCAACAGCATTTGTTATTAGTTAATTTCTTGATGCTGACAATTTTTTCTGGGGTGAGACGGAAGATCAGTGTTGTTTTAATTTGCATTTCTCTAATGACTAATGATGTGGAACATTTTTTCATGTACCTATTTGCCATTGGTATTCATCTGAGAAGTGTGTATTCATCTCAGATGCCCATTTTTGGATTGGGTCTTTGAATTTGGGGGGCCTGATTTTTTTCAATTCTGTATATGTTCTAGGTAGAAGTCCTTTGTCTGAGGGACTGTTGGTTAAAATTTTTTCCCACTCTGTGGATTTTCTACTTACTTTTTTGGTGATTTTTTTTTTTTTTGATGTGCAGAAACTTTTTAATAGGATGAGATCTCAGTTTTTGATTCTTTGAAATATTTCCCTGCAGTTTGGTTTTTGTTCATGAACTCTGTGCCTACTCCTGTGTCTTCTAGATCTCTACATACTTTCTCATCCAGTAGATTTAGTGTTTCTTTTTTAATATTTAGATCTTTGATCCATTTTGACTTTAGTGTATGGTGATAGACATGGGTCTACCTTTAGTCTTGGGCATGTGGAAAGCCAGCTTTTCCAGCACCATTTGTTAAAGAGGCTATCTTTCTTCCAGGGAACATGCTTGGCCTCTGTCAAAGATAGGGTGGCTGAGTGTGTTTGTAGTTGTGTCTGCATTTTCTAATCTGTTCCATTGGTCCTCAGCTCTATGTCTCTTTTTTTTATTAGCTGATTCTACATGTGTTTCATATTAGAATCTAGGATTTCAAACTGCTAGTTGCCCCAAAATATCAATTTCTCTTGATTCTTCATGCTTTTGTTCATGCATTTATTTGCCTAAAATTGTCGTTTTCTTTTTAAAGGAACCTAGCTCTTAATCATTTCAACCACTTAACTGAAAGGTTTTTACAAAAAGTCCACTTTGACCTGTCAGACTTAGTTAAATGAACTCCTCTCCTAACACTTCAGGAATTCCCTTGTAGGATTAGCCCTGTTAAACTTAAAGTATTTGTTTATCTGCTTCACCAAAATGTAAATAGAAATTCTCCCTCTCATCATCTTCGTATTCTCAGTGCCTGTCTGGTACCCTCTCTCTGGAAGTCAGGAAGCTATAAATGCACACTTTTTGAATGGAAATTACTGATAGTTTCACTAAATCACTGTATATCTTCTTTTAGACCCTGAAAAGTAATGAAGGTGTTTTCCTTGCTCTGAAATGGGTTGATGAATTATTGATATAAGTTTTTGATCATTTTATGTGAAGTTATTTTAGAAAACATCAGGTAACATTAGTTTGAAAAAACATTTTATTTTCAAAGTGTTCTCTCCTTGATAATCCCTGTAAGGCATTCCTAGTGAGTTTATGTGTGATGCTTTCCTTATCTACTGCCTAATTGCCTTCTTCCTCTTTGCATAGTCAATTCTTGATTACCCATGGTCATGGTAGAAAGGGAGAGCATGGATAATCTAAAAATCTCATTTGCATCAACTGCCTGTGTCACCAAGCCTTGTGCCAGAGGCAGTAATGAGTGCAGCAATGCTGGTGGAGGTGCAGATGAGCTATGAAATGGCAAAAGCTCAGGCTGCCAAAGATACAGAAAATGAAAAGCTATGAACAATACACATCTTGATAGTTGTAAAATAGCATGGAATTGGCTATACTTTAATGATGAAAACTTAGTTTTTGTGACTGATAATGAAAAAGACTGATAACTTCTGCTTGGTAAGAATGTCAGGACTTGTCTAACTCAAAAGTAAATGGTTGCATGCGTGCCACTATATCAGCCGGACTGAACAGGTCTGGCTGTCCTTAAATCCTGTGAACACCTGCTCTTATATTCTGAGCACATAGACATTTAGGGAACATCATACTTCATTCTAAACTTTAGGGACAGTTTTAGGCAGCTGTGTTGGTGAAAGTGTTATATCTCTAAACGCTTACCAAATTGCTGCCTTATTTCAGTGCAATTGATAAGGAACTTCCAAAATACTCTAGAAGCAACTGGAGCTTTCAATCCACATATACATACTTTCGATGGCTGCAACTCATGGAGACGGGAGAAATCTTCAAACTTGGTAAGGCAAACTCTCTGTATGAGTCCTCATTCTCCACAGAACAAAACAAAACAGAGCCAGTAGGGTGTGTGTGTGTGTGTGTGTGTGTGTGTGTGTGTGTGTATGTGTGTGTGTATTTGTGTAGACCTCTGTTGTAAGGAATTGATGCACATTGTTATGGTGGCTAGCAAACCTAGGATCATCAGGATAGGCTGGCAGGCTGGAGATATAGGAAGAGCTGCTGTTATAGTAGTTCAAGTGTAAAGGTGGAAGATTTCCCTTTACTCAGAAGAAGTCAATCTTTGTTCTGTTCAGACTTTCAGTTGGTTGGATGATGTCCATCCACAGTGGGAAGGGAAATGATCTGTTTTTAACTTCAACAGAATAGCTCTCACAGAAACACTCAGAAGTGTTTGGGCACTCTGGCTCGGCCAACTTAACCTATATCAATAACTATCACGCTCTTTTCTGTTAGGTGATTAAGGGAACTCAGGAAAGTGAAATAACTGGCTGGTATTTAAGTCAGTCTCCTATCCAAATCTTCTGGTTTCTTCATTGGTGCTTCTTCTATTGTACAACACTAATTTCCCACAACAGTGACAATAAGAAGAAAAGAGGAGAATTTAGTTCAGAAATAAATGGCTCAGGAAAAAATTCCAGTGTGTTTCATTTATAAAAGTCTGTTACACGGGATTCTCAATAACATTTCAGAATACAGTATCTAGTATATTTGGTACCTATACAAATTGACAATAGCAAGTTCCTCAGCTTTTTGTTTAAATAAAAGTTGTATTGAGATGTGTTACATACCATAAACACCCTTTCTATGTATACAGTACTCCGTGTGTGTATGTGTGTGTGTGTGTGTGTGTGTGTGTGTGTGTGTGTGTGTGTTTCTGGAGACTGAACCCAGGGACCCAGATACACTGCCACTGACTATACCTACAGACTTTTTTGTTGCTTTAAATTTTGAAACCAGGTCTTGCTAAATTGCCTAGACTAGACTCAAACTTTTGTCCTGCTTACCTCAGGTTTGCAAGTGTCTGGGAAATACAGGCATATACCATTGCATTCAATGTTTTTAGATAAAGTCACAAACTTTTAGAAAACTCACCATTTCCAGGATGATTGTATGAGTCCTGAAAAAAGTGTCACTCCACTCCATTCCCCGGAAATCACTAATATATTCTCCATCGCCACATATTTTTTAGCTATTATGAATAATGCTGCTGTGAACATCTGTCAATAAATTACTGTGCAAACATATGTATTTAATTTTCTGGGGTATATACTTAAAGGTGGAGTTGCTGGGTCATGTAAAAACTTTTATATTTAAGTTTTGAGGCGCTGTCAGACTTTTCCACTGCAGTTGTTCACTTTTACACTCCCAATGATATATGGTATTCCGGTCTCTGTATGTCCTTATCAACACTTGTTATGGTCTGTCCTTTTGATTACAGCCATTGTTTTATGTGAGAAATAGTGTCTTATTAAGATTTGTATTTGTATTTCCCAATGTCTGATGATTTCGAGCACCTTTTTATTACTTATTGGCCATTGATATATCTTCTTTGCAGAAATGTTTACTCAAATCTTTTGCCTATTTTTTAAATTCAGTACCTTAAAGGAAGTAAATTGTAAGAGTTATTCATATGTGTTAGCCACAACTGTGTTATCAGATATATGATTTGCAAATATGTTCTTTCATTCTGTGCATTTTCTTTCCACCATAATGACCATAATGAAGTCTCTGTTGAAGTAAAAGTTTTTAATTTCAATGAAGTCTAATGATCTATTTCTCTATTTTAGTTGTGTTTCTGGTGTCATATATGAGATGCCTAATCCAAGGTTACAGAGATTTATGTTTTCTTCTAAAAGTTTTATACTTTTAATTCCTATGTTTATTGTTTGATACATTCTGAGGTATTTTTTGGTCCATATTGTAAAACAAGGGTTCAATTTCATTCTTTTGCAAGTGGATATCTACTTGGTACAGCATTATTTGTTTAAAAAAAAAATCTTTCCCATTCAGGGATCTCAGAATCCTAGTCAAAAATTTATTGACCTTAAGTGTAAGGGATGATTTTTGATCTAAATTATATTATATTGGTTTATGTGATTATCCTTTTGACAGTAGCAGACTGTTTTGATTACTGTAGCTTTGTAGTAAGTTTCCAAATTAGGAAGTGTGAGTCTTCCACATTTTCTCTTTGCAGTGTTGTTTTGGCTGTTTAGAGTTTTTTGTGTTTCCATATGAACTTAGGATCAATGTGTTGGTGCTGCAAAACAGTGGGCAGGCATATTGGTAGGCATTACACTGAATTTGTAGATTGGGTTGGGAATTATTCCCAAGTTAACAGTATAAAAATCTCCAGTCTATGAGCGCAGAGTATCTTTCCTTTTATTTAGTCCTTCCTTAGTTTTCTTCAGTAGCATTTTATAGTTTTAGCATGAGTGCCTTACACTTTTTTGATGAATTTATTTCTATGTTTCTCTTTTTTATGTTATCATAAGTGGATTTTCTTATTCTTACAGAGTGTTTAAATGCTAGCATGTAGAAACACAGTGATTTTTTACCGTTGACTTTGTATCTATGCTGCTCACTCACACTGCCATGTAGTTTGAAAAGTCTATGGGTGGGGAATGGTAGCCTCCTGTCCAGTGGAGAATCCCAAAGAAAGAGAGCCTGAGCATGCTCTGCACGTGAGAGTTAAATTCTGGAGACTAAATGGCTTTGCTTAATGAAGTTGAAGGCCTTAGCATGGTCAGCTGCAGTTGGGGAAGAGGAGATGTAAAAGTTGAGGATACTCTTGAAAGGGTGGACCAGTACTTGAGGTGATAAGCGAGTACTAAACAGAAGAAAAGACAAAGAATTGATTGTAAGGTGTCATGTTAAATTTTTGTGCTGTGCACATGTACTCCTTGATTGTAACTAATCTTGTTTTATGACTTTTGAAACAAGGTTTTTCAGTCTATAGTCCAGGTTTGCCTGAATTCTCTATGTAGCCCAGGCTGAGCTCACACTTGCAATAGTCCTGAGTGCTGCGATTACAGACATGCACTACTGCACCTGTCCGATTATAACTAATCTTTATTCAGCACCTGTAACACAGTTGTGTATGCTTTCCATTTGACAAAGAGGAGATTGATTCTTGAATGGGATCATAACTTGGGATCATAGGAAAATTAATCAGGCATAGCAAAAGAATGAACTGCTCTGGTTAATCTTATTCTATTTAAATAAGAGAGTTGCCATTAGGTTATTTAGTTTACTGATTTCCAAAGAGCTGGAATATTACAAAATGTATTTACACTAAACTTTTCCTGAACTGAAAGAGTAACAATGCAAAGTGTCTATTACAAGAAAGAGGAGGAAAAAGACAGAGAAGGAAATGCACCAGAGGAAGCATTTTAGACTGTTACACACTAACATTATAATGCAGATTCATCTGTGAAGGAAGGACTGTTATTAGCATCATCCCCTCTCAGTGATGAGAAAAAAGTCAGCGGGATTTAAAATTGCTTATGATAGTGCTGCTAGCCAGCAGGCAGTAAAATCAGGTCACTGATACCAAAGTCCTTATTTCCACTCTCTTGTGTTCACATATTAGCTGTTCTCACATAAAGAATACACCAGTTAACAGCACAGTGACCCTGGAAAGGAATGGACTTTGGGATCTTAGATATGTGAGCTGGCAAAGTGCCCTGTCTTTCCCAAGTCTTAGTTTACATGGTTGTACAACGGGGGTCCTAATATCATACCTTGACTCTTGTTTCAGGGTTTGAACCAGAAGAGTGACTGTGAAAGGGCTTTACAAAAATACGAAGGCTGGCAGAAGGAATAGTGAAGCAGAGGCAGAATGAGTATCACTCTCTCAGCCTGTCACTGGGCCATGGTTACAAGTTATTTGTCTTTATATGAAAGGTATGTGCTGGTGTTAGCGCCTGGAGAGTTTCAGTTCAAAAAATGCTGACTGACAGGGGTTTACCCCAGGTCTTCCTGCAGAATAAAAGCCTTCAGGAGCACGTTATAGTTCAGCTCTGTCCAGACTCTGTATTTAAAGATGCATGATGGGAAGACAGCTGGTGAGGCTGTGCTTGACTGGGAGTCTGGCAAACTGCTTAGTATCCTCCTGAACAAGGGATGGAAAGATCTTGTGGCATGTTTGGTCTGGGGTCTGCAGGAGATGGGAAAGATTGCCCTATCTGTTATATTTATTGGAGATATTATTATTTGTTTTATGCCGTGTGGAAGGAGGGCCAGAGCTATAATCTATTGATCATTTAGTTTTATGAAGTTCTCAAATGGGTGATCTGGTATTTTTCTGACAGAGAGGCTATGGTTCCTGAACACCAGTAATAAGGTTGTCATGTAATTTTCTTCTCGGTCTTTTTATTGCTTTTTATCTCTTTGCTGATATTGCCTCTCCCCATCCTCACCTCCCCGCTTGCAACTGACTTTTGATTTTATTTTTTTCTCCTAGGGTTATATTTAGGATAAGCTTGATTTATTCTACAGAACTTGTCCTATGTGTTTAAGAAATTGCCCATCTTAGCTTTCCGTGTTTTATCCTGAGATGCTGTCTGCTTGCTACAGTCAGTATTGTGAAGTTGTAGTAAACTGGAGTTTAACTGGGGGAGAAATAGGTCAGGGAAGCAGAGACCAAATGTTCATTTTGCAGCCACAGTGTGAGCAGATGGATAACAGAATGAGGTTCCCCTCCTTGTGGGCCTTGGTTTTCCATGAACTCTTTCAGGATTTCCTGAGATTCATGTTCCTTCAAGATCCCCACGTGCTGGGAACAGACAAACACAGAGGACGGTGTCTTTCTAACAAAAGGACTAAGGTTATTACCCTCATGCTTGCGCTCTTAGGCAGAGAATAAACAATGAGAAACATCCTCTCTTCGCCTTACTTATCTAGGAATGTGCTAAAGAATACAGAATCCCATTGGAAATCCTGCTATAAAGCTCTGCTTTCCACTAATGACAAATGAGTTGTATCACCCAGTTGTCACCAGTGGCCACCATCTAGATAAAACTCCATTTTGCCTTCATGCCAGGCAATCAATCAGGTAAGGCGATTCCAAGTCATTCCTAGGTTAGTTTATGCCTTTTCTTCCAAGCAGCACCAAGTTAAGGGAGAGAAACTGTTGAAAAACAAAAACAAAAAGCTATGTGCAGCCTTAAAGACTATACTGGAATGTGTGTAAAGACAGCAGAAAAATTAGTGTTGGCAGCCCGCGCCCAGGCTAGTGAAGAGTTAAGTGCTGAGTGACGGTGGGAGGCTAGCGTTAGAGCTAGGGAACAACTGCCTAATGTCTTTCCACTGGGCTGCTTAGCAAAGCTTCATTATGACTGTAATTGTGTGCTTGCACAGGCACACCACACGGAGGGAACGCTCACAGTAAAGGTATGATTGTATTGCCCGCTGCCATGCCAATTACTGGATATTAATGGCAGGATGGCATGCATATGCCGGAGCTGGGAAGCAGAAGGTTAATAGATGAACAGCACCAGAAGAGCCCATTTATCAGTTTCTATTTATCTCTCCTTGGGAGGTGGCAGGTTTACAGTAAATACCTTCTGTCCTCCTAATTTCCTAATGATGGGGATAATGATGGAGAATGGTGAAGTCATTAACTGGGACAGGCTCTGTGCATCACTCTGTCAACCGCATCTCCCCAAGACCTGCAATGAGAAGTGATGGGGCCCAGCTGTTCACTAGAACCCAAGCCCCTCCTGCAGCCCCTTCCACCCTCCACTGCAGGCTGGGAAAACGGCTCCCCAGGTGAGAAGGGAGGCCCGGAGGACAGTGGAGAATGGGAGAAGGGGTGCAGGACTCTCCGCACAGAAAGACGGCTTTTCCCCTTGCCCAGAACCTGGAAGAAGCAACCTTTACACACGCTGGAATGTATCTCAGAGATGCCAGGGCTGCCATGACGTGGAGGTGGAATTGGATAATGAGTCAGAAATGGAAGTGAGTGTGCTAGGACAGGGAATGTTGGCAGATTCTACCCAACGTTCCTTCCAAAAGCTGGGAGGAATTTAAATAATATATGATCCACTTCCTGACCTCACTACTAAATGGAGCTGAAGGTACAAGAGAAAAATCTTTTTTGCAGAGGTAAAAGTTTGGGCCTTGAAACCTTGAAGACAAAGTGAAACAACCTGGTTTGACTCGGATGTGCTTCTTTTCTGAATAATGACCATAAGGTGTCTGTTTCATCTACTTGTTTATACATAGAATCTTTCAACTTTTAGTTATTGCCGTACCTTGGTTTTGCTTCAGTGGTTTATAGAGGCCTTGAAAAATTATGATCTTGTTTTCTACCTTTTTACTTGGGGAGCCCATTGACTATCCCCAGAATCTGCTTTCTCTTAGTTGAAGCAAGCTGTTATTTTACTTACATGTGTTATAATTATTTTGTAAGCAAATAATAGAGAATTATTTAGGCCCCAAATGGCAAAACATGGAAGTATATCTTAATGACATGAGAGGTCTCAAGATCAGGGATGAAGCTGGGCCATCGTAGTAGACTAAGAACATTGACACGAATGTGTTTCTCGCCCTTTCTCTCTCTCTTCCCTCCTGCTTCCCCTCTCCTCTTTCTTCCTCCTCTCCTCCCCCGCCTTCTTCTCCTTCTCTCCCTTTTGCTTATCATGCTACTGTCTATCCATTTAGTATTTTTCTTCTTCCAGAAACTCACTTTCCACTCAGCACAGAACATAAAATGGAATATACAGCTGCTTACAGTACCCAGCTTTTTATATTTTGTATCCAGACCTCGAAGAGAGACCAAACCAACGCATTTTCCCCTATCTGTTTCTCTCTTCCATGCCAAGGCCGAAGCTTTGGTGCAGTGTATTCTCCTATAGCCTGTACCCAGGACACTGGAATCAGCTGTACGGATGTGTGTGTGTGAAGCTCGTGAGCATTAGGCGTGGGGTCACCAGAAGAAAGGACCCTGAGCTATGAAGACTGCTTACTAGGCGCTCAACACAGCCCTCGCAGAGCTACCTGCTACTGGATTCCTAGAGGTAGGGAACGGGGGAGACCATGGTCCTGTGAGGTCACACTTCTTGGGAAATTCAACAGTACTGAGGGATGATATGACTTTTTAACGTCATGCTTGAATCCTTGTTCGTTTACTCACAGCCCTGTGATCACTTTCACCGTCTTTATGCAGTCAGTTTTATAACTGGGATGATAATAATGGCACCTATCAAATGGGGCAGTCCCGAGGACAAACGAGACCCTGTGTCTAAAGTGCTGTCGGCACTCCACAGCAAGTTCCCTCTAGGTGTGATTGCTATCACAGCTGTCAGTTGGAATTTTCAGTTTGATATATTTTTCCCCCAAGATGAATCAGTCATTTTTACCAAACATGATAGACTGTGTTTTCAGAAACGACGATAGCAGTATTTCTAAACCTGTCTGCTATTCAGGACACCCAGCCAGAGAAGCCATATGGAGGTTACAGGGCAGTGGAAGGGGAACGTTGAGAAGGCCTCTGTGAGGCAGCACGTTGCCCCTGAGGCCCGGAAGAGGAGAAGAGCTGCTAAGTGAGTGGTGAGAAGGGTTGGCCCTGGAGGGAACTAATGAGTTCGAAGATCCTTGCAATCAGAAGGGACTTCACATCTTGGCTCAACTTGACTTAAGCAATTCTTTTGTAATTGGTGGAACATTTTGCTATTAAAGCCTCGTGAAAGTGTGAAGAAATCTGTTCAGTTATCCTTTTAACAATGAAAGCAGTGACTTCTTTTTTGCCTACCTCCTTCTGTCTCCTTTTCCCTTGTTTATCCTTCTTAGTATTTTTATAAGCTGTGATATTAATGACTACTAGAAGGTGTATTTTCTGAAAATTTGTTTTAAGTCTCAGGTTTTTTAAAAGTATTATGTCAAATACTGGAGAAAATGAAACAATACTGTTGTTTTCAGCACATTCAAGAAAAACATACCATTGATGAATTGAGATGATTCTATAAAGTAGCATTTAAGTAACATACCATTCACTAAGATCCAAACAGTGCAGCACAGTGTTAGAGGTGCTTCGTGCATCCACTACACACCCGTCATAGTTATGCTGTGTGGCCAGCCTGGCGCGAGGCTCTGCTAAGTCTCCCTGCCCTCTTGAGTTGTTTACAATGTAGAATTAAGACTATAGATAAACAAGCAGAAATTCTATAGTTATAATACTATAAAAGTTATAAAGGGAAGGTACTGGTGCTGAAGCATCTGATATGGATTTGGGATGAGATCAGGGATTATTACTTTCAGATATAATAATTTCAGTGAAAATGTTTACATTGTGGATTATCCGTGATCATTTTTAATCTTAGGTTGCTAATGTCTTGGTTCTGGGATATGTAGGAAAGCTTAGCACATGATGATTAAAAGTACAAATCTATTCTAAAATACTATTAGCAAAAAGAATTATGAAAAGTGATACAAATAACATTTGGCTGATCTGCTGTTCGGAGATTTTGTATGAGAAGGTGTTCAACATAAAGTTTTGGAAGTACGCTTTAGTTTTATTTATTTCTAGTGTTTTTCTGTGTAGATATAAAATGTTAGTCACACCTAACACTTAGGGTTTTGAGAAAAACATAAGCATTACAAAACGCCTTCTGGTAGAATAATAATAAGAGACTTTCTGGGGCATATTTTCAAAAAGATTTTAAAAATGGGGGACTGAAAATCCAATAGCACACTCTTTGTAGGAAGAGTCTTATTATGATACCTGCCCCTCACCCCAAATGCCAGGACTGGGGCATCAGTTAATGTCTCTTATTGTTGAATCTGACCACGTGAGCTAATGCAAACAAAGTCATCAACTTCATTACCAGTTAATGTGTACTAAATGTGGATTGAGAGTTTGTATTCAGTTAATTATTCAGGGAGAGAATTTAGAAAAATACTCAGATATGCAAAAGGAGAAAGAAAGCAAAACAGAAACTTACCCCACTGATTTTTTTTCTTTTTTGAGACAGGATCTCCTTATGCAGTTCAGGCTGGTCTTGAGCTCACTGTATAGCCCAGGCTGACCTTGAACTCACAGCAATCATCCTGCCTCAGCCTCCTAAGTGCTAGGATAATAGGCATATGCACCACTCCTGGCTACTCCACTGAATTCTTGAGACTAAAATATATAGAGGGGAATGAGCTGGGAAGTTTCCCAGTCTTGAAATAATCGTAGAGAAGCAGAAAACAGTCATTGAGAGTTAGTAGATTTAGAAGAGGCATTAGAGGCAGTCTTGTCCGAATCTCACATTGCAGCTAAGAATACTGAGGCAGAGAGTTTAAATAACTCCAGTTTGGCAGGACCTCAGCCAGAACCACTGTCTCCTGACTACACATGCCGCACCTGTCTGTAAGACCACACTTCCTGCTTTTGAAATAGTGTGGACAACACCAATATGGAAACTTTAGCAAGCCAATAAGCATATGCTTTTGTGAAAGAGAGAAAAGGATATTTTGAGGATGGTTTCTTCCAATAAAAATGAGAACATCATTTTCAAGCTGAAGGATTAAATGAAACTGAAGGGTAAAAGGGTTATGGGATGACAGCTGTGAGAAACATAGACAAAGGTTACCTCTGACTTGAGCTGGACTCTGTAGGGGCTAAGGAAAGGATTATGTGCTATTCCTTGGCCAGTATCACTGTGTATAACCTCATTTGGAAATAGATAAACACAAGGCATATTCAAGTTGGGTAGGTAGTTACTTTCCATGTGTTTGTTGTGTATCTTCTTCAGTACTTTTTCTAAACACATAGAACAGTTTCTGGTATATAGTATCTGTTCAACAATATTTACCTAATACATTATCATTTATGGGATTAAGAGCTGAGATAAAAAGAACAGTAAGGTCTCTAGGAGTTTGGAAAGTAATCACTGTAGGCAGAATCACCAGGGGAAAACGTCACAGAAGATGAGAGTCTGAGATGGTAAGAATGGGATCGCTGAGGCTGCACAGAAAGTAGGAGGTATTCAGGTTGGGGACAGAAGGTGAATAGACAAGGACAAGAAGGTGAGCATTAATGAGGCAAGTTCCTGGAACAGTGAGATCAGTTTAGTTTTACTTCTTTTCACTTGAATCCTATGAACTGTGTTATTTATAAATTTAGTGAGATTTTGTAGGGCCTTGATGTCCGGACTGGCCATCGAGCTAGAAATAGTCTGTGAAGTTCAGGGGCTTTGGAAATGCTGGTGTAACCTTTGAGCCTTGCTGAAGCTGGTCTTCTAGGGCCACGCGTCCAGAGGAGACAGGAGGCTGAGGAGGCCTGAGACACCCGGGGGAGAGAGACTTCTCATTCAGTGCTGGGCTCCTATGCAGCCCACCTTTTGCCATCTCTGATCCCTTCTCAGTATGGGTCCTGTGCCACAGATACACAGACTTGTATGAGGAAAAAATTATTAGGAACTGATTGAACTTCTGATGATCACTGTGGAGTAGACAGAATATGATTTCAAGACAAAATCTTCCATAAGGGTTGGAAGAAAAGTTGAAATAGTTTCAAAGAAGATGAAGACTTGGGGCAGTTTTCCTAAGAATTCAGTGCTCTTAGACTTTATGTTGATATCTGCTCACATCTTCCTTAAGCCTAGTGCATTCCTGATGCTAAGGTGTCTTTGACGAGGGTTAAGTGATAGGGGGTGGGAAACTGTGTTTAAATATTATTTATACACTCCCTGGGTGCTGGCTCAGAGTATTTGGCAGATCACTGGGAACAGTAAAGTTTAGAGTTGAATCTCTGTCTTTAGAGAATATGGACGTTGTTCCCTGTCATGGCTCCTTTTCCTTCCAATGTACGGGCCATGGCTACCGGAAGCCCTGGAAAGGTTTGTGTTTAAAACCTCCAGACTGCTATGGGATAAAATTAACTGCAGCTAAGCTACAGCTGGATGCACCCTCTCACTTAGCAGTTGGCTTCTGCCTTTGAAACATCAAGTATGACGTAAATCAAGATGTACATTAACAAAGATGGTGTAAAACATCTGCGAATGCTAAATAAGGAGAAATCTCATTAGTCACCAAGCAAACAATGTGTATGATAATTTAGATAAAAGCAGAAGGTGTCTAGGAACTCAGAGACAAAAGAGCTGAAGCAGAGTTTAATCCTGGTGCAAACACTGTATGATAATGTAGCGAAGGAAACTTCTCTCTCCCTCTCCCTCCCTCCTTCTCTCTCTCTCTCTCTCTCTCTCTCTCTCATCAGGTAAAGGACATTTAGACAAAGGACTGATGCCATTTCTATGAAGGTAAATATATTCTTCTTGAAAGAAAGGGAAAGTAATTTCTTCTTGAAGCATGTAATTCTTGGCAAACGAACTTCTAGGTGTCTGAGAAGTCACACACTTCCTTTGTAGGGCCTCCTGGAGCAATTTGTGGTTTATATCTGGACACAAATTCCTCATCTAAAATTCTGGACTACTGTCAGTTTTAAAGAAAGGAGCATCCCAAAATACCTCTATGGAAAGAGGAATTTTTATCTTAGATGTGGTCATTGTAAGTACTTTTTGGCAATAAGTTATGCTCCAACTAAAATAATGTTCTTAACAAATACATTTCTATTACAACCAGAAGTAATAATCAAAGATGTTTGAGTATGTGCATCACAGGCTTTAAGAGAAGTTTCCCAGTTGTCATGCCTTTCTGGTCCCTGGCCGAGAACACCTGAAGTTGATCAAGTAGCCTTGGAAATCACAGATGCAGAGTTGTGGTACAAGGCAGGTCTCCTTCCATTGTCCTCAAAATCCTACACCATCTTATTTCAACAAAAATTGTACCTGATGTTGGCCATTTGTTTCATCTATAATTTTTACTGTATAAAATGAGAATATTTTCACTACTCTTGGTATATCAGTCTCTTCTTTTCCTTGCTCCCATTAACAATAAAAACCCATGCAGTTTTCAGCCATTACCATTTTTCTCCTGATAAACCATGTGTGACATGGAGACCTTGAAGCTGGGAGTTCTGATCACGATGCTCAATAGACTGTACATAGAGCTTTTTCAGAGGTAACCACTGTGAAAA